ATTAAGCTCTGTTACATTGTAAGTATTAAAAAAACGAGGATTACAAAATGGTTTGCGCGGCTTCGACAACTTTTATTAACTACTTTTATTATTTATTTATTGTTGTTGTTATAAAGAATCTAAGCAAATGTCAAAAAATTTATATTTACATATAAATCAATTCATATTATTTCCCAGCCAAAACCTTTACGAAATAATAATCATAAGTTGAACACTCAGTTTGACTCGTTAAACAAAACAATATTTTTTAAAGTGATACCTCAATGAGTTCAACATTTTCAGCCAATTTTGCAACAGATTTAACCGCATCTTTAACTTCGCCAATAACAAAGGCCTTTTGTGCTCCATTTGTCAATTTTGCAAACTCCACACAAAATTCTTCAGCTGCTTCAGGGCTTAGACAAATGAGTAATCCACCAGATGTTTCAACGGCCTTGCCAGCTTTTAGTTTTGTACATTGTCCAACTAATTCGCCAAACCTTAAAACGTTTTTTATGACAGGCAATTTGTGAATTTCAAATAGAAGCGACTCCTTCTGAAACTCAACCAGATTTTTGGCATGTCCCAGCAAACCGAATCCCGTGATATCTGTTGCAGCATGCGCTTCGTACTTCTTCATTAGCAAAGCAGCTAAAATATAAATATTTTATTAGATTGTTTCTACCACAGCTATACTTAATTGCAGACAATTGATTAACAAAATGATATATATATTTAATATCAGTGGTATTTATAAAGACATTAAAATTTCAGCAATATGGGGGATCGGGAAATTTTTAAAGTTAAAGACTTTTAGAAACAACACACATCAATATAACCACATTAATATTACACATAGTTCCTGCAGCTTACCGTTTCGATTGAGATATGTCATAGATTTTATTGCTATTTCAAATGTTTCCATGATATCTTCGCTCGTATACTCAGTTAGCAGCTTTTCATACTTTTCATTTTTTTCCTTCTGCCAAATTTGAGCACTCGTTGCTAGCTGTGTGCCAAGTGGCTTCGTTAGTATCAGGACATCGCCAGCTTTGCCGTTTGAGGGTCTAAAAAGTTGCAAAGGTGTTAAATATATACAATATATTGATATTCTCTAATACTGAAGTATGTACTTACAATATAATGTCTTGCTTTAGGCAAACGGCAGTCGCAATGCCGCCAATAATACACCAAGGATTAATAATAACATTTTTTATAGTCACATTGCCATAACAGCCGCTGTTGCTCGATGCTCTCTGGAAGCCTTTGACAATCAGGGGAACCACAATATCTCGCTGCTTCTCTGTCAGATTTGAAGGCGCACTAATAAGCATTTCGATTTTATCGATATCCGTGACGCCAACAGCGTATACATCACTCAAAACATTGGCAAAAGCTATGCGGCCCATTGTTTCGGGATCGTCAACTAGAGGATAAAAGAAGTCAACAGTCTGTACGAGCGAATAGTCGGTATGCCGTGATAAAGGTACAACCGCGCAATCCATTCCAGATCCTTTTTTTGGTTTGAAATATAAGTTTATGAATATTTATAATTTAAATACATAAATATGTATATAATTGAAAATTCAAGGTCAAGTTTTAATTAATCTCTGTATGCATTTAGATAAGCATCAGATAAGCATATAATTATAGTTGTTTAAGTTGCAAAATTACTCAAAGTATTTTTATAAATTTTGGAATAACAAAATACTTACCAATATAGTCATCATTATTTTTAGGAGCATTACTAACTATTTCTGTTCCCGTGAGATATTGCTTAAGCTTCTCTTCGGGGACTTTGCATCCTCACCCGCGCAGAGTGGAAAACATGGTTAGGCGAAAATCCGCCTCTAGCCCGTGATCTTCTGGCTGAAACATAGTCTGCTAAAACATTGCAAAATATTGTATATTTATTAGTAATTTAAATATTTTTATATTTATTAGTAAACTTACGTTTTTGCCAAAACAGCTGTTAAGCCGCGTGGAGTATTTGATCGAACTTGAAACGTAACGAGCCAGCTGACTTTGTTCATTTGAACTAAAATCGAGCGCTTATCGATTGCAGCACTATTTGCCGTTGTTTTAATTTAAAGAAAATATTTGCAATATTTTAAGTCATGATTTTATAGTAATGTTTTATATTGTTATGAAGTTACTATTTACTAATATAATATACAAATCTGATACGCCCTTAAATCATAATTCAATTTATAGGCATTTGTCCATTTTTGGTGCTTTTATCTTGTTTGTTTTCTCAAGCAAAAAAAAAAAAACACCCTTAAGAGAAAAGCGAAGGGCGATAAAGGACACTGACATTGTCGGCAAACAAAAGTTTAAAATAACGTTAAAACTAATTAAATTTTAGTACACAACTTTAAAGATAATGAACAAAATCACGATCATAAAACTGAAATAAATTATATTTTTATATACGGTTTTTAGTGTTTTTTTTAATTAAAGCACTGGCTAAAGTCGATAATAAAGTCTAAAAATAAAATGTTTAAAAGTAAAAACGAATGTAATGTTGTGTACAAGTGCACTGTTCGCCTGCTTGATGATTCGGATGTCTTAGAATGCGAATTCCAGGTGAGCTTAGGCAATAAAATAGTTAAATCTGAGACTGAATACATTTTCGGCTTTAAGAAGGGAGAAAACCAAGGAAAATCAACGCTGTTTTGTTGTGCATGTGTGTATGAGTATGTAAATGTGTGTGTGGGTGGGTCTGTGTGAGCATGTGTGCGTGTCTGCAGAAATAAGAATAAGGGCGTAACTACCTCAGCTATAACAAACCCAAAAATCCAAGTTAACAGTTTTTTTATGAATTTAATTTAAAAATGTATTGCCGAATACCCTCTCTCTCTCTCTCTCTCTCGCTGTCTTTCTCACTCTCTTGTTATCATTCATTCTTATTACAGCCATTCCACAAAGGAATTTACCTAGTCGACCATATATGTAGGCAATTAGATATTAAGGAAAAGGACTATTTTGGCTTACGCTATGTAGATACGGGAAAACAAAGGGTAAATATGAGTCAATAGTATGGTATTTAGGTATGTTTTATTTAACATATACATTTATTTTTAGCACTGGCTTGACCTGGCCAAATCCATTTTAAAGCAATGCAAAGGTATTTAATTAAATTGAATTTCCTTAATAAAATGAGTATAACCTAAAATAACTTTTTTGATTTTGTTTTTAGATATAGATCCTGTACTATTTTCGTTACGTGTTAAATTTTATCCAGCAGATCCATTTCGCCTCACCGGCAATGGACGCATCATGCTCTTCCAGCAGCTGAAGAGAGATCTTCGTCATGGGCGCTTATACTGTTCGATGGGCGAGGCAGCTGCCTTGGGTGCACTTATCGTGCAGGGTAAGATCCTGCTATAAATAACATTTTAGCAAATTGATGCATAAACTCTTTGTAATTTCCAGAGGAACTCGGTGATTATGACGAGCTTATACACGTGGGAAACTATGTGTCGTCATTGGACTTGGCTTTGCGTCAAACCGAGAGTCTGGAAAAGAAGATCATAGAGCTGCACAAGAAGCGAAAACCTGGCCAGCACCCCTCCGTCGCCATGGACGAATTCATGGGCATCGCGCGGGGCCTAGAGACATATGGCATTGATCCGCATCCCGTAAAGGATCATCGCGGCTCACTGCTCTACGTGGGCATCAATCATGCGGGCATCAGCACCTTTGTAGCTGGCAAACGGTCGCAACACTTTCGATGGAATGAAGTGCATAAAATTAATTTCGAGGGAAAAATGTTTATTGCACACTTAAGCTTTACGGATGCCAGCCGAGAGCCCGTAAGTGAAGCCCTTGAAGCTGTATAACTAACTATACATATTAACAATGATAATTCTAGAAAAAACACACAATTGGCTTCAAGTGCCCATCAGGACCCGCTTGCCGCTATCTATGGAGATGCGCCATCGAGCAAATGTTATTTTTCACGTAAGTATATTTTGAAGTTTACGAGATTCTTGCAGAGGAATGAATAAGAGCTTTAACTCGATCAATGCAAGGGATATCAGTCATATTTACTTATTAAAGCCAACGCTGTTTTTGTTTTTTTTTTTTTTTTTTTTTTTTTTTTTTTATTCAGATTGCCAAATAGCCAGCATGCAGCTGTTGTCTCTGGCGGTGGCTTTTTCTCCTGGGGCACCAAGTTCCGTTATACGGGTCGAACTGAACGCGAGATATTGACTGAAAGCATAAACGCATTACGCGAGCAAAAAATGACCAATTCAACTTCGAGCAAGCGCAAAGCGAGCAGTGTACCAGCCACGCCCTCCAGTCCGCAGGGCGACCTAGCACAAATACGTAAGCCGTAAAGCGTTTCAAATTACCCCACTGATAAATATTAATTCTGTATAATTTTACAGGCTACAGCAGCTTGCCACGTTCCACAATGTCCGAGCCACTGGGCTGTTCCATGGCGCCGAGTATTCTCATCTATGGCCAAGACACTGGCGTCAATGGTAGTCTTCAAATGCCTAGCCTGGAGCCGGTTTGCGAAGAGGCGCGTCTTCGCTCCTCGAATATAGATAGACTCAATCACATGGGTTCCGATTTATCCGGCTATGCGTTCCGTGACTCCATGGAGCATTCGTCCACGGAGAGTGGACTCACGGCGAGCGGATACGACGCGGCTGGAAAGCCGCGTGGGAACCAGAATGACTCTAAACAGCATCTTTATTATTCATCCAAGCAGTACTATGCGCTGCCCAATCCCGCCTTAAATTCAAGCTCTTCCGTCGGTATCGCCAGTGGGAAACATTCAGGCAAATTTTCACGCACACACTCCAATCCCAATAATGGTGGCAAAAGTTTACGTAAATTCCATTTATTACACGCCTTTATACCATCCGTTATCTTCGTTGTAATCGCAATGGCTGGTACAGCTGTCCTCATCATGGAATCAGAGCTGGAAATGTTTGAACGCGTACGAAACTCTCCCGAAATGCTTAGTTTGCGCTATCAGTATTATCAGCCCCTAAAAGAGTTTATCATTGAAAAACTAGGCAAAAAAGTGTAATTTTTATTCACAGGACTTCATATATAAACAAATATATGAGTTAAAGTCATTTTAAGTTTTTTTAAATGTTACAATTGGAATATCTTTGGAAAATAAACAACAATTTTTGATTCCAGTCTCTCCCATAGCAATATTTCAAGAACTAATACTAAAATCAAGATATCAATGATATATGCATCCAAGATCGACTCTTACTTGGCCACTGGGCAACTTACACGAGCTTTACAGCACCACCGGCTGTTTTTTATAGCACTCTGTTAGTAGGCGACGCACATTTTGGGTATGCTGTGAAACTTTCTCTCTTTCTGAACATGTTTATGTTAATTAAAATGAATAATCCTTTGCAAGATATTTCAAAAACAAAATTCTGAAAATTTAGTGCCGGATAAATTTAATTTTTTAATAAATGTCAGAAATTACCTTTTATAATTAAAAATCAGCATTTCTTTTGTGCTTGAAAGTAATTTTTTTATATCTTTAAGCATTAGCATCATAGTTACATCCAAGGCCAAATTAGGTATTGCGATAGCTATATGTATATATTAGGCTTGATCCTGTATAGCTATTTCTTTGTGGACACGTGTATGTCTGAAAAAACGATTCCATCTGTACAGATAATATATTTATATATATTATATATTATATATATTTTTTAATACATATATAAACCGAAGAAAAAATCAATCTGACAAGACACTTAAATCTATTATATCGTTAAGAAATAAAGAAATTGATAGGGAAGAATTTTACCAGTAATTGGATATGCATACCAGCCATATATTGTATGATGTATGGTTAGTGATATCTATATAACCAATTAATTTATTAAAAAAAACTGTTGAAAGAGCTTTTCCAGTTTGATAGTATTTCCATCGAAACATTTTTTAATTGCATTGTCACATTTTTTTTAGACTCAATTCCCAATAAAATCACAAAAATTAAAATATGAGATAACGTGTAAATTAGGTAATACAAATATTTGATTTTCCAAAGAAGAAACTAGCTTTGCAACAATAAACTTAATTTCCGTGTTTTAATTCAGTTATTCAAATATATCGATAGCTATCGGCAACATTTGATGCGATCAATTGTTGAGAATGGGAATACTATGTACGACGGTCACACAATCATGTTGCCAACCACATAAGGAGCCCCTTTTTTTTTTTGTTGTTGTAGTATGATGATAAAATCTGACGAGCAAATCATTAAATTTGTACCTTATCCAACACTTGCGACAAAGCTTATGTACGATCACATAGTGAAAAATTGCAAACCGATATAATTGAACAGTAGTCGGCAATGAAAATCACAGGTTGGTTTTATTGTGCTCAACAAGTTGGTCACTTGCAAGTGCATATTTAAAAAATGCATAAAAGTATATGACTACGTGTGTAGCTATTTTTTAGCTTTTGTGAGTTGGCGTAGAGGTGTGAACGCCATTTTATAATTATTAGATACAAAATAAGGATTGTAATAGATTAAAACACACAAGTCAAGAGACAAAATAATAAATTTTAATGCGCAGGTATTTGATTTGTGTGGGGCAATAAAAAAAGACATTTACAGTTGACAAAATTTAGTTCACCTATTTGTAAGTATGCATTCATGTATGTACGTATCTCCATTTATATGAGTATGCGTGTCGTTTGTCCACAGTCATTTAACGGCTTACATATGTATGTATGCGTATACATATACATATATTAATTATGGGTTTCAAGTGTGTATACTCCTTGTACCACTTGTAAAATATGCACATACAACTCGCAGACCTACATACATTCATATATGTACGTCTGCAAGCATATTCAGGTGTATGTGTTTGTGTGCGAGTGCCAGTGCGCCGTGTCTGTGGGAGAGGCGATTTCTAAAAGAGCATAAAACAGATGACTTAAGAAGCAAACTGGAAATGCCGATGATGAAATATCAGCGACTTAATCTACTTTTACAAATGCGTAGGGTGTTGAATGAATACATATATGTGCATGTACACTGTGCAAAAAGAAAACGAAGTCGAGAAATTTCCAAACTAACAAGATTATAAGTAGAATATTAAATATATTATTAAATAATGCTATAATATTTTACATGCTATAATATTTTTGCAATTTACTTTCAGTTAAAGATTGACGGATATTGATTGATGAATTTTTAATCCAAGTGTGATGATTTAAGTTACAAATTATATACACTCTTTAGCTCCATTCTTGTACAACAATCACCAAGTGCAAGCGTATAATGGTCTATCCGGAAGAACCCTTCTGGGCTTTGCCAATGGTATCTGGATTATACGAAGATCGAGATTATAGGGGTAAACCCATTTCTATAAATATTTTCAGTATTTTATTTGATATATTTCTTTACTCATAGTTAATGTTGTGGAAGCTTTGCAAGAGTTTTGGCAAATGAAACAATCGCGAGGAGTCGAGCTTAAGAATGGAGCTCTAGTGATCTATGAATCGATTCCATCGAACAGCCAGCCCTATGTGTGCTTCGTGACATTACCTGGCGGCAGTTGTTTTGGTAGTTTTCAGGTATAAATTTTTCAGCAACTCTGATAGAGGAAACATTGCTAACCGTTAACCCTTTCAGAATTGTCCAACGAAAGCGGAAGCTAGACGAAGTTCGGCTAAAATTGCACTCATGAATTCGGTATTTAACGAGCATCCGTCTCGCCGTATAACCGATGAATTTATTGAAAAGGCTGTTCAGGATGCACGCGCCTCTTTCAAAGGAACACCACAAAACAATGAATTACCAGAATCGGGCATCGGTGCTTTTAGGTACGTAAGAAATATTATATTTGAGACTTACATATATAATTTGTAATATATATGAATTTAGGTTCATGCTCGAGGCAAATAAGGGGCGTACGATGCTAGAGTTCCAAGAATTGATGACCGTGTTTCAGCTACTACATTGGAATGGATCATTGAAGGCAATGCGCGAGCGTCAGTGCTCTAGACAGGAGGTGGTTGCACATTACTCCAATCGTAGCTTGGATGATGAGATGAGAGCTCAAATGGCCCTGGACTGGATAGCACGTGAGCAGGAGAATCCTGGAGTGCTGAGAAGAGAATTAGTCTTGGCTGAACGTGAGCTCGAGACGGCACGCATGGCAGGCCGCGAGCTACGTTTCCCTAAGGAGAAAAAGGACATATTAATGATAGCACACAATCAATTGGGTGGCAGCAATTTAGGCGCAGCAGCCATTGAAAACTGAACTGTGGACGACGGTAGAGGTTTATAATAAAGGGGACAACACACTTAGTATACATATATGGAAGACTCCCTTTCTTAGTCTTGGCACCATTATAGCATCGTATATATACATATATGCTATATTCAGAAAGTAATCGACGAAATAATCCGCATTACACAAACAACCGTTTATTTTATTGGCAAAAGAAAACCATATGATCTCGAGTTCTGTTAAATCCGTTAAAGCTCATTTTAAAATAGAAATCAGGAAGACGTGAGAATAATTCATATTTGCTGACAGAAAGAAAATATAAAGGAAAACTCGGTAAAAGAAAAACACTGACAAGTGCAAAATACTTTCGGAATGAAAAATTGTGATTTTAAATACTGAATTTACGGAATTATTTTGAGACTAAACTTAAATAGAATAGTTAAATTTATTGTGTGTATATGCATGTGTATTTATATATCGAAACACTGTCTCAGCGCCAAGCGCAACTCATCCGAGGCAAATAACCATTTAGATAAATTTTTTAAACTAACTTCATCAATTCCTTATAATAAAGTCGAAACGTTTGGCAATGCAGTTATTTTATTATTTGAGAACTTTTCAACAAAATCTTCTTCAATTAGTGCATAAAAAGATTTATATTGATACATAATATACATATGTCGATTGCCTAATCACTAAATAAAACCAATATATTAAAATATCTATCTGGCTTTCTGTATTTCTTACTCGCAAATCTAATTCAATTGATTAGAGGGATTCTGATGTCTAACTGACTACACGGACATTTGAAGCTTTCAAACTCTTTCAACACACGTTCTAATTTGCATCTCTGTATGCAAAGTTTTGTTCAGTTTTAATAGGAAATTTTTCAGTAGGGTATTTATTATGATTAAATGATTCAAAAATAAAATTGAAAAAGTCCAGGAGTGTCTTCAAAATATATATAAATATTACAAGTAAAAAAAAGTTTATGTAAGTCAAAAAAACCTTTTATAATCTTACCTTCGTATTTGCCATTTGACCGATGCTATTTCCAGGCATAATGCAAATAATGCGATTAAGACTCCACCTTAAAGGAAGGCCTTAAGTTAATCGACAACAACAACAACATTCAACAAAATATATTACTTAACAGCGTAAGGAATGCTGAAGAAACACCCGTTATAGTCACTGGATAGACAGTGTATAGAGACTGACATTCCGGTTTCTTCATTTGACGCTGTCGCAGTAGTCTTTCGACCAGCCCAACTTCCCGAGCTTTACACATACTGAAATTTTATATATATAAAGGTATGTCCTAATACGACATGCTATATGACATCCTTACGCTGTTCTAAAGAGTTCGGTATATTGACTATTTTTATGGACAATCCAATTCATAATTTCCACCTCCATTAGACCAGACACCTCGCGTAGATCACATATTTCATTGGCGTCAAACAACTCGGCTATTATGGGATAAGCGTCAACCACTTCGCAGTGAAATGCAAATCCACCCCTCTTTAGATATGGAATCGCATCCTCTATTTGACCATACACACCCATTTCATTGGGACCTCTAGATGCAGACAGTTTCTTGCTTATCAAACGAGTCACAATTGGATTGGAACTTTCCTTTGGTAAACAAACAATTAATAAGTGAATTGGCTTTATTGAAACATTTAACTTACTTTAAATAAAACTTTATAGTATCCTATATCTTCAAACGATACTTTAAGTGGACTATTAGTTATTTCATCCACGGTAGCTGGCCCTAGATCCGAGGAGCTCAACAGTCCACCAACGACAGATGAGGTGTAATAGTTGTACATTACGACGGAGAAAAGAAAAACTGTAAGGACAATGGAACGTGACGGTATATCCCTGGGAATTGGTTCCATTCCCTGTTGGCAAACAGCACCAAAGGTGAGTAGGATACGTTCTGTCCACTTGCTGTGAGAATTCGTAATTGCTGGATGAGAACTCAAATTTCTGCTGTTCCTTATATTAAAAATTCGTTCCTCAATACATTGCATTGCTTGAGAATGCCATCTTTTGCTTAGATAGTCCAGCAGTAGCCAAATGCTGTTAATGCCAATTAAAGTAGCCACGGTGAAGAGCCACACCTGCCTGCTGAAGGGTGCTAGAAAATTTCCACTTTTGCCACGCGTATCCAAATCGGGCGTAAATCGAAATAGGAAAGCTGTCTCAAACTTCCAACTCTGATGAATTGTATCGAACTCGGCGAAACGATTTATACGATTGAATGCTCCAGATGCTGCAATATCTGCTTCATTGCGCTTTATAATGCCCAGCAAGCCGAGTCGAAAAGTTGTGTTGCCCAATCGGCCTGCCCAACCTCTCGAATTGCGAAAGTTGACGGTGAAGTTAAAGAGATCTCGCAGCATGCTCAACAGTTCATAATGATATTTGATAAATGCTGCCACACCCGCATCCTTTGTGGGCCTCGACAGTATGGCTTCAATTTGTTGATTCGTCAAAATGTCCTCCTGATCGATCTACAATAGTGAAACTATGTATAATATACATTCCATCTGATATCACTCCTTACTTACAACACTTGCGCCTCGCAGAGTCAAGCCATTGAATTGACTGCGATATTTGATGCTCTGCAGATCGAATATCTCGTTAATTATAACCAATTTCTGTAGCTCCGTTGATAGTTTTGCTATCAAACGCAATTCTAGTGGTGATTTCAGTTGACGGCCCTTTGAATGCACATCCCAAAGGAAATAGGCGTCGCTTGTTTTATTCACATATGTGAGTTGTGCATTTGGGCCAACATAATCTAAATCGATTGGTAGCAAATCAGTGATGTTCGCCTCAACGCCCCACAGTAGCCACTGATAGGTTTTATTAAAATATCTATTCGCAGACGCCTCTTTTAGCAGTTTAGGAGCGCCTTCACAGGTCGTGTCCACAATCACAGATGTTCGCGCATAGTTTTCTCTTGTTAAAATTGACACCAAGTCATAGGAGCTATTCATATGGACCGGTTGAACAAATTGATTGGCGGCCATGAGTGCTAGAACGTTGAAATACATATCTAAAATTAAATCAAGCATAAGTCAAAAGTGAAGAAGCTATAAATACGAATAACATACCATGCTCAGAGCAGGCAAATATTATGCATTGCTTTGTCCTAACAAGGCGCGTGTTGTAGTCCAATATAACTGAACCCTCCATAGCGAAAATTGTTACAGAAAATATGCTCACCAAGGTGAGCACTACTCTTGTAGCGCTCGAATGCATGTCAAATATCTTTTTTACTGCTATGCCCAAGGCAAACGGCTTTCTTATATAGCATAGTAGGGGCCATAGTTGATTGACATTTTAAATTACAGAAATCACTTCTAAATGCAAATTGAAAAAAAAACTAACGCCTGATAGTGACCAACGAGTCAATAAATTTTGAAATATAAATGACCGTTTAAGCTCATTAGGAATAGTCGCCTTGATGATACTCTACGTAGCAATAGGCAGAAATAAATTTTTACTGTTATAAAGTCTAATTCACGAATATATTGTTGACTTATTTGTAGTTATGAAATAAACTGATTTACTTATACATACATATAATTTCTGCTAGATATAAAATTACATATTTACAAATTGTCAAACTTTTAATTTCATATATTGTCTAACTAAACAACCTGCAACTGGACTTGCTTTTGCATCAACGAATCAATTGGATTTTCGTAGCGAATTAGCTTATTAAGCAAAAACGTACCATCCTGATGGTAATCAGCGTCTACAACAAATACCTCCACTACTTTTGTCATTATAAATTGTTCGTTTTTCAGTGTATCGACTATTACTAATGGGGATACTTTAATGAGACCCAATTTAGATGGACAAATTGTAAGTGGAAATTCAGCTAGCTGCCCTGGCTGCAATGTATCCAATTCAAAATCTGCTGATCCCGTATAGGGGCAACCGGGAAAAACTTTCGTATCGAGTTTCACATGCAATTTCATTGGATGCTCCGCTGTATTGGTTATGCGGCATTGGAATGTGAATATGGTTCCTATTTTGACAATATTTTCGGCATCTGTTACTTCCAAGCGCAGGTCTTTGTATTCAAAGGGCTAAAAGAAACATTGAACTATTCAACACTCATTCAAATTAAAATATTAATTCAATAAATACCAATCGTTGCAGTTGGCTTGTTTGCAGTCTGCCCTTTTCGCCAAAATTCGATCTCCAGACAATGTCCAGTTTTCCTACGTTGTTTGCCTCACGCAGAGTTTTAATGTCTTTTGCAATTTCAGCTTTTGGCTGAAATAACAAAAATGGTTTATTCGACTTCAGAAAATGTTACTTTTAGCCAACCTTTATACAATAAAGAAATTGACAGCTGTTATTGGGTTGCAGCATATTTTTGGAGGTAAAAACCGACTCTCCGTTAGGTAAAGTATTCAAAGAGGTAACTGTGTATTGCTCCGAGCTGTCCAATTCAACTTTTTCTAGACAAAATGGGCCGGTAGTAACATTTTGAATTTGCGCTTCAAGATATATTTCGTCCATTTCGGCATTGTAGAACTTTGTCTTAACATCGAGTGGCTTAAGTACTTGAAACTTGAAAAACTTCCTCAGGGATTGGGCGAAACCTGCAGGACTCGTGTAGTTTACTTCACAGACTAATCTAAAAAGGCAAAGTTTAAATAATTCTATGAAAATAAGTAATTTTCATTAAATGTCTCACGCACATGTGAGTCCCAATTTCCTTTACTTCATATCTAATGACATCATCGAGTGTTTCATCAGCTGTTAAAACCACTGAAGATTTCTTATTTTCATGCATCAGCAGATTAATTTGCGATGAGTTGGACTGCAGATCTACTTTAACAGAAACACCTTCAACGGGATGAGTGGTGCAATTATGTACACATATGTAACTCGAAAAGGTTTCGCCTAGGTATATATTCCCAAATGATTGAGGCAACAGCATCGTTTGCCCGGCACCGAGTGCTTCAGCAGACGTTCGAGCAATGCCGTCGAACTCCACTAGTCGGTTAAAACTCTGAGGCAAGTCCTTTGGCTCGCAGGTAACAATTGGACCAAGTCCAACAAGCGTAGGGCGAGTCAGTCGCATTACTGTAAGATGTATAATTTTTTAAATATTATTTTAAACGCCACATTACTATTTAAAGCGCCTATTACATACCCTTTAGAGCCAACAAATGAGCATCCGCGTCGACGGCATTCATTTTTTTACAATTACTTTTGTAAATTCGCCTGATCTGAAACACCAAAATATACAATTCTGCTATCGATTGCTGCTTTTTAGAGATGACATGGGAAAACTGATATCGTTTATATCGAAAACGTCGATTTATAATATTAACACAATTATTTAAAGATCTGCTTTATTTTCGAATATATAATTGTATTTAATTAATGGTTTCTTAATTTTAATAATCATCCGTTAAACGATTTAACAAGTTGCTCTCTAGCTTTCAAGCGACACCATGTCACGACTTATAAAGAACGCAGATACCAGCGCTGCAGTTTGTGCAGTCTCCGAGCAGCCCTTGGTTAATCTCTCTTCAATTTCTGCCAGCTTAATTATTAATTTATTCATCACCGACATGGGCAGTTCAACTGTGGGTTATAGTAAGACGTTAGTAAAGTGTAGAATGAAACAATAATTAAGTACTCTTACGTCTCATAATAAACAAATGCAGTTCTGTAACAATATCCTCTAAAGCAAGTCCTCGCTTACTCTTTGCTTCTTCAATTGCTGCCATAAGGATTGCAAGAATATAGAAAAGAAACATTTTTTATAAACTGCAAACTTACTATCAAATGCCGAGTCGAATGTGGCTGCGGATAGCAGTGTCTGTAGCACATTTTCAATTTCACTTCTAAGCGGATATCCCACACACATATAAACATTATCCTCGTTGACTACATCGAAGGCCATCGAAGTACTCTGAAGCACATTCAGAACCTTTCTCATATCACCCTTAGCGAGGGTCAGCAATGCCTTTTTTCCATCATCCGTAATGTTGACACTGAAAATACAAACTGCTTAGAAATTGGGTATACTGCAGCCTGGATGGATCGCATACTTCTCCTCCTCCACAACCTTATTAAGGCGCGGCATCATCTGCTCTGGTGAGAGTGGAGCAAAGCGGAAACGTGTGCAACGTGATTGGAGAGCGGGAATTATTTTGCTTAGATAATTGCAAATGATGCAGAAGCGCACGTTTTCCGTGTACTTTTCAATAATGCGACGCAAGGCATTCTGTGCGTCATTCGTCATAGCATCCGCCTCGTCCAGTATGATCAGCTTAAAAGTGCCACAGAAAATGGTACGAGTCGAGGCAAAGTTAAGAATCTGACCACGGACAATTCCAATGCCACGATCATCAGACGCATTCAGCTCAAGTACCATGGACTTAAAATGTGCTGGTGAATATAGTTGACGGGCACAGGCCAAAATAGTGCTCGTTTTACCTGTGCCTGGTGGACCATAGAAGAGCAAGTGGGGCAGCTGCTTCTGATTAATAAAGCGATTGACTAAAATAAATATAGATATTAGCGGCTGTCTTCCATTTTCCGGTATCAAAGCATGTTCTTACTCGTTGAAATTATTTCTTCATGGGATATTAAATCATCCAAGCAGTTGGGCCGATATTTTTCCACCCATGGCATGCGCGCAACCGTACCATTATTTCCAGACATATTTTTACCAAATTTTTATTAATGTTGTAGCGAAATGTTTATGCATTCGCGCCGTTTTCTGAGCCACCAAGTCCTATTGAAAAATATATCGATATATCATTTACAATCATCGCATTCATTCCATCTTTTATTCGGGCGACGTTTTTAGACGAATATAAATTATAGACGACAAATTACTTCTACGAACGTTTAATTAATTTATTTCGATTGGCGCTTGTATACTATATATCATAATACAATAACTTAATATAAACAATATATTCTCTACTCAAATTATACAATGAATATAGACAAATTTATTTGACATTTTGTATTTAACTGCTTTTAACAGCTATATAATTACAATATACATATATTTCATTATACTCATTCATTTTACTTTGAGTTGTTTACAGACTACAACAAATCAATAATCTAAGGACCATTCATTCTCAGCAATAAATGAGTCAACTACTTCCTTCATTGAGAAGTTTGGTATTAGCTGATCCTGCGTGAGTTTCACTCGTGTTACAGGATCAAAATGGCCAACACGTTGCAAGTGCTCCTCGATATCCTTACGCTCATATGTAATGCCTGATGGAGTAATCACCGGGTCAGTTAATATTTCAAAACTTATTTTCCCACATAGAAAATCGGGCACATCGCGTTTCTGTCAATAAAATAATTATATTTTATATACACAGATAACACTTTTTCCTCTGTTCTTACCCTTCGACGTTCGTCCACTTTAGCAAATATATTATTAAGCTCTTTAATATGATCATCCTATAAAAGAAAAATATATTAATAAACTACAAAGTGAATCAAACTATTTATAAATTCGACATTCAAGAGCACTTCCTATGTCTTATCTCTTTTCGTATGCAATAATTTATATCAACAGAAAGCTTTGCAAAGATATCTTACGCATTCTTGTTCAATTTCTTGTTGTTTTTCCTTTAAGTTTTCCTCATTTAAGTTTTCATTTAGTTTTAAGCTGGCTAAGCGGTTTTCCATGTCATCTTTGATTAGACTGAAAATAATCAAATAAACTAACTATAGAGTCTAGGAAATATCTATCTATATTCGCACCGATTTAAATAAGTTTGCAGCTCAATTTCTTGAAGTATTCGCTTTTCTTCCATAATATTCCAACGCTTTTTGCGTGCCAAACGCAATTGCAAAGTTATATCATCTCCAAAGTTCTGCTTTTGTTCCTTTGACAAATCGTAGGCTTAAAATATGCGCATTAGAAAAATAATTATATGAGTATAGACACTAAAAGTAATCTGCAAAATTTTACCACGCTGTAGATGTTTTATAGCCTCGTCATAATTGTCAATCTCCATAAGTCCCTGACCAAGGAAAAAATGTCCTTTTAGTAAGTTGGCGTCTATATCCAAAGCTCGTCGACAATCTTGACAGCACAGCTCCCAACGTTTTAGCTTTAGATTGCAAAGCGCACGATTCGTAAAGTAGGTTGCATTTGTGGGATTCTTAATCTATGTGGAATACAAGATATTTATATACATATATACACATATATACGTGAATTATTTCACTTTAAAAGTTTGGTAATATCTTACAATGGCTTTCGAGTAACATATAATCGCATCGTCATATTTGCGGGCCGCAAATAAACAATTGCCCTGCTCCTTCAATTGCAGGTCAGATAAATTTGTGGTTGAATATATATGTTTGCTCGTCATGTTAAGAATAGTTTTGCTTTCTGA